TTTCCCTACTTGGAATGGCTTACTATTCACCATGATTCCTACCAGTATAGTTTTCCAGGTTCATTTTAGTTTTGTGTGCTAGGAACACTAATGAAATGGAGGGTACTGGCCCCACCTCTTGATATGCACATGCATTCTTTTAGCTTATAAAAAAGTGTGGGGTCTTTTTCAATACTGACCAGTGTCCTGAAGTCAGGGTTCATGTTCTGCCTTGATACAGGCTTGACTTTGATGAATAATCCTAATGTCACTTTTATATTGTATAAAAAAACTTACATATTTTTAAAAAAATCTTGTTCTGTAGCAATCCCTACGTCTGTTTATATATTTTCAAAAATATGACTATTACCTTAGACTGGTGTACTATTCTCCCTCCTAACAGTTCAGCTTCCACCTGCGTTTTCCCCTCTACCATCCTGTTCATGTGGACTGGTGGCATTTGGATCTGTCCTTCTGTCAGAGAGCACGGAGAAGCCACACCACGTCTGCTCTCTGCACAGGCACTGAAAAATGTATCCAGTAATGAGATTACAGACTGCCAGCCTGGCAATGCAATATGAACCTGTGTTGAGTTTGATGTATCTTCATCTTTGTACTCGTAGTACCCAAGCAATCTGTTAGTAGGCAACGAGTAAGTTCTTATATGCTGCCACTATAAACTAATTACACAAGTGAAGAAAACTTTTTCCTACCCAGAAATGAAAACGAAAACACCTCCTAAGTACCTTAAGTTTTATAAGATGACTGCTCCAAAGACGCACACATATATAATGAGTTTGATTTGAATTACATAACCAGAGAGACTCCATGTACCATTGGCACAGGATATTGTGAATCATAAGTGAGATTATTAAATCAAATTAAAACTTGAACTAGCAAATAATTTCCCACGTATCAAGCTCTTACAATCCTTTTCTTTTAAAAAAATGAGCAGTTAACTCCACTAGGGTACTATTTTCATCAACTTGAGAAAGTCTTTTTAAAAACAAGAACAAAATGTCCTTTAAGAAGTGTATTTAAATGGCTATCTATTCTTTGAGTGCTTTCAATTTTCTTACATAATTCTTAAAACTTACTATTCAAAAGTTTGACATACAAAGTTCTTATGTGTGCGTGTGTGTGTGAATATTAAGTAAAAAACAATCTGCTGACAAGAAAAAATTTACATTTCAAACTGATTTCATATAAAATGTATAAAACTAAAAGACTCACTACTATCTGGAATGCTTTAAAAAAAAATTACTTTTAAGATACAAACCAGTCAGCCTTCTTGAATCTGAGTCATCCTGAAATGTGAAATGTTACATTAGATAGGACCTACCAGGGAAACTGGCTTGTCGGCCAGGAATATTTCCATTTCATCTAATCAGGCCCACATTTATACTACTTGTTGAAGCAAAACCTGCCATGGTGTCTCTGACACGTTTTAAATACTACTTTTACTAAAACTTGCAACAAGTTCTTGGGGCCTGAATTTTCCTGCTTGATTTCAAACAAGAGGAGGAGAGAGAGGGAAGGGTTTCTAAAATTGACCTAGACCTCAGCCAGGGAACTGTATGGCAGTTTTCTACCTTAAACCCACAGGTATACCCTCCCCTCATTTACACAAGAAGTGTTTAGGCAATCTTGATCCAAGCAAAACAAAGTTGTTACAATTAAAAGAAAAACCTGCAAACAGTAGATACAAAGTAAAAGCGGCTTAAGAGATATTAAGTAGCGTTTACTGGGATACAAATTAAAGCACTTTAAAAGTTATGGCTTCTTTTGCGGTTACACTCCTAAAGAGTGCGTGTACAGGGTCCAAGTGCAGGGTGTAACTTATCCTTCCTAATCAAAGATGACAGCGATAGTCCTGCTTCCTGCGGGGACGGGTGTGGTTGAGGAGACAGTTACGTCCGTGCCATCAATCTGCGTGTGGAAAAGCCTGCAGGTTGCACCGACGCCCGTGGCTAGCCTGATATTCGTGCCTGCAGACTGCAAGGCCTGCTCCAGGCTGCGATGGCTTCAAATCTGACACCCGACAGGCAAGCAAGTACTGCGCGGTAGTTTTTCCACGGCTCCGAGCACGGGTCGCACTCCCCGGGGCTTGATCGTAAGGGAAACCTCGGGGGCGAGAACGACCCGGAGCCAGGCGGCGGCGGGCGAATCTGAATGCAGTCAGGAAGTTGGGGTGGGGGCTCACCTTCTCGCAGCCGCCGTCTACTCACCCCTACGACACCGAGACAGCGTCAAGGGACCGAGAGGGGCGAAAGCCTCATCCCGGATTCCGCGCCGTGCGTGCCGCGCCCCGGGCCAGCGCCGGGAGCTAGATGGGGGCGCGGGCACAGACCGTCCCCGCGGCCGGGCGCGGTGGTCACCGGCC